ACTAGATAGATAACAACGAACTTCATAAGCCTATTTTCTTTAAAAGAGAAATATTTTATAAATTTCAAACGACTATAGCACTGGCTGCTCGGTCAACAAACCCCGAATGTTTCTTCAATCTTAAGTGGTAAAGTGATGTATTAGGTGCTTACATGGTTGCTATCCACAAGTTCCTGTCCTTTGTGTTAGTAATTTTTTTAAAATATCTCTCCTAAACCCTGTTCAGGCATCCATTCAGGCAAGCTCGTTTTTTTTTTTTTGTGCCGTGCTCCTTCGAATCGTGGGTGATCATGGCTCTCCACAAGTTCCTGTCCTTTGTATTTCTTAGTAATTTTATTTTTTACTATCTCTCCTAAACCGTTCTGGCATCCATTCAAGCAAGCTCGTTCTTTTTTCTTTGCCGTGTCCCTTCGAATCGTGGATGATCATGGCTCTCCACAAGTTCCTACCCTTTTTCTCGCTTAGCAAATTTTGTCTTTTTGCTAACTTTCCTAATCTCTGTTCTGCCAACAACTTAACCAAGAAGACATCTGATAATTTTTTTTAATCGGCTTCACCCTATGCAAGGCAATAAAGCCACTAAGGCAGAAAGGGTTACAGGGTGTGAAAGAATTGGGAACATGAACAATAATAATGAGCGGGAAGAGGAAAAAGTAATCAGGACAGTAAATAGCGATTGACATTTCATTTAAATTCCTGCTGATTAAAGTTGACGGGAAAGCGTGGATCCAGAAGGGAGTTCCACAAGCGAAAGGTGCGAGAAAAGAAACTGTTAGCTTAAGATTTACGGCAACTTCTAGCTAGTCCAAAAGTAAATTGATGAGATATCGATGACAGTATAGTATTGCGCTTAAATTCAAAAACTCTATGTACAGAAGTGTGGCACAAGGCCAAAAATGGAGAATAAGGAAACGGATGGTCTTCTTCTGTCCTAACATTAAACTTAGCTAGACACAATCACTGACCCAAACATACATCACAATATTCCTTACACCAAAAGGACGCATTCTTACTTACCATTCTTACAACATTCACCATAATACCTCAATGTCTCTATGAAGTCCTAACTAGTCATCATATGTACAATTCTTGTCTGTGGGGGGAAGGGAATATAACAACAAATTTAAAAAAAATAAACCCCCCAAACCATAGGGAAGAACTCATTCGAACAATTATCATGAAAGTATTTATAGAAAAGGCAATGAAAGGCAACCTTAAGGCGGTGGGGAAATGACTGGGCTGAGCCGCCAGATAAGGGCAGCAGAATTTGGGAAAAAGATCGGAGCGAGAACTTTTCAGCACCTTCCCTTATCCCGTTTGCTTGAGAAAAGAGGTCGATTTGGAAATTCAGAGTTAAGATTACATCTACCCCAGGCAACCATTGTTCTTAAAATATTTTATATTATTAAAAAGAAATAATTTGCTAGGAGACGAAACGAAATTACTGAAAAATGACGTGCTCTTTCATCTTTTAGTCTATATACATTCTGGACGTGAGCGATCATGCCTCTCCATAAATTGGCGTGTCGAGAATTAATTTTACGTATTGTTCAATTACTGTCATTATTTTCATTATTAGATGCAGTCGTCATAGTTTCGTAATGGAAACAGATTGACTTATTTGCTTTGATATTGATCAAATCATTAAAAAAGCATTCTGAAAGGGAAGAATTATTTAAGAGTTAAGAGCAGAACAATTGCAAATAATATATTACCATATTTGATAGCATTTTTCTTCTCCTCCTCCTCCACCTTTTTTCCTCCTTCTTCTTCTTCTTCTTCTTCTCCTCCTTCTTCTTTTTCCTCCTCCTCCTTCTTCTTTTTCCTCCTCCTCCTCCTTCTTCTTCTTCTTCTTCTTCTTCACCGTCTGCGCGATCATGGCTCTCCACAAGTTCCTGTCCTTTGAATTTCTTAGTAATGTTTTTCTACTATCTCTCCTAAACCCTTCTTTTTTGTGCTGTTCCCCTTCGAATCGTGGGTGATCATGACTCTCCACAATTTCCTGTCTTTTGTATTTCTTAGTAATTTTTTTTTTACTATCTCTCCTAGACCCTGTTCTGGCATCCATTCAAGCAAGCTTCTTCATTTTTTGTGCCGTGCCCCTTCGAATTGTGGGTGATTATGACTCTCCACAGGATTCCGTTGGTAACAAAGAAAAGAGTATTGAACTGCTACGTGATAGTTGTCCTTCTTTACGGCAGCGAATGTTGGACGGTCTCCTAAAAGATGAAAAAGAGACTCAAGGGAACAGATGTATGGTTCTACAGAAGGATGCTAAGGATAGCACCGAATATGTGAGCAAAGATGAGGCTTTGGAGAGGATGCAAACAAAGAGGAAACTTATACTTAGCGTCATGAAGAGGCAGCTGAAATTTCTGCGACACGTAATGAGAAAGGTGGGCTTGGAAAATCCGATACTCACAGGGCGGATAGACGGAAAAAGGGACAAAGGAAAGAAACGTGTGACATACTTAACGGGTTTGAGTATGTGGCTGGCAGAACAGTGTCTGAGAGAAATAACAAAAAGACAAAACTTATTGAGAGCTACAAGAGATAGGAGGGGGTGGAGAGCCGTGATCGCTTACGTTCTGAAGAAGAATGGTATATCGAACTACATCTTAAGAGTATTGCTTAAAATATCCCCCGGATCTTATATGCGAAATTATATTCTTTGGTTGGTATGACACAAAGATATAGGAAAAGTGCTGTTCTAGGAAACCTTCATTTAAATTGTAAAAGATACTGAAAGAGTCTTGAACATTGGCTGGATCCGGATGGAAAAATAATTGAACCAGTACTGCTATCGGTTGAAATTTATGCAATCTTTCTCTTAAAAGGATTCTTTAGGAAAATAGGTTTCTAAGTCCAGTAGCTGTTATCGCTCTTTCCAGTCAGTTATGTGTCAAACGTGATACACGCTTAGCCGATCATATATCTTTCAATACATAACTGACTGGGATATTTTTTCCCGCAGTAGTTTGCCATTACTTTCTGCGGTAGACCAGTTGCCATTCAAGGCTATAGAACCAGGTCTATCCTGCTATTTACCCACAGCCGAGGGGAGAAGGGAATTCATACCTTTCCCAAGGGTATTAGCACGTAAGTGAATGTAATGGGTTCGACTGGAAAGTCAGTCAGACATTTATGTGCCATGGGTGATACACGCTTAGGCGATCATATATCTTTCGATACTTGACTGATGAGGCAGATTTTTCCCGCAGTACGTTGCCATTTCTTTCTGCGGTAGACCAGTTGCAATCCAAGGCTATATAACCCGGTCTGTCCTGCTATTTAGAATATGAGAAAATATACTATTAAAGAGAAAGGACAATAAAAGAACAAGAATTAAGAAAACAGAAGCTAACGATTGCACATTGCATTTAAAGGTTTGAAGATCAAAGTTAACTGAGAAGCTGGAAAAAAGTTCCACAAGTGAGAAGTGCGAGATAAGAAACTGTTAGCATAGAACTTACGGTTCAATCTAGCCATTTTAACTGTAAAATTTATTGCTAAATCAAAAAAAAAAGTAATGTGAAAATTCTTTAAGTGCACTCTCGGATGTCCATCCCATAATGCAAGTTCTGAGGAAGAATCTGAGTTGAACTTCTTCCTTACTAATGGAATATGATGGAAATGGGGATGAGTAGATTGGATATAAATCATTAAGTAGACAACACCGAATGAAAGACAATAACTGAGAAAAGCACGTATTTTTTGCCAACCGAAATTATTTCTTCTGAATTTATTTTCTGGATTCGGCGAAACGTGTTTCAGATAGAGGATCTTATTATAATTCCGCTTTTCACTCCCTTAGTTATCACGACCGTTACGCCCTGCCAATAACTCATAAACAATGGACTAATCCGTTTTGATGGCGATGAAAGACGGGAAAGATATATTAGAGGCGCTACTTTGTTTCAGTGAGAAAAAGAAAGAAAGAAAGAAAGGTAGAAACGTTTAACGTCTCCTGCAAATACCTCACAAATAATGGACTATTCCGTTTTGATCACATGGAAAGACGGGAAAGACATAGCCTTTTAACTGGTTCAAAATTTAAATGTGACGTTTCTAACGAAACAGATTTTCAAATTTAAAATTAGCATACGTTTCGATCCTATGTTTAATATGATTATTCCCGACTTCGTTAGTTCGCACGGCTGTTACGTCCTGCCAATACGTCACAAATAATGGACTATTCCGTTTTGATCGCGTGAAAAGAATTGAAAAGACACTATTTGGTTTCAGTGAGCAAAAGAAAGAAAAAAAGAAGGGAAGATAAAAGTGTTTAACGTCTGTTTCAGTCAAATGGAAAAAGTTGTCAATTTTCTAATACTCTCATTTGCAACCATTACTACTTAAAATAACGAGCAGCATTCATATTTATGATTGCTTTTGCAACATTTTGTTAAAATTGCTGAGCTCAAATATTTAACGATTTTATAGAGGAATTTTTACGGATATTTTATCGTCATGAGTTTATTCTATCATTAACTGAAGAATTAAGATTCATCAGAAAATTCAAATAGGAAAAGCGTGAAATTTTCACAGGAATTTCTAATTAATTTAATTGTAGTTTGTCGCCTTCCTAATCGATTTGCAAATGCTTACAAAAACAAAATCCAGAAGGAATGTCCATTAGTAGAATCTAAATCAAAGAAATAATTAATTTAACGCATTGAAAATGTTCAGGTGCTTGATATTTTGTTATGACATTTGTGAACAAAGTGAGATATTTTTTTTATTTGGTTAATAAAACCAGAAAAAATCGATATTAAAAAAGGCAAAGTTAATGACGAGAAATGTAAAAGGTGTGTGGAAAAAAAACGCTTTGTTTAAAATTGTTACAACAATAGTGATATACCGGAAGTGAATCCATTTTCATAGCACTGCGTAAGAAGTCAGGTGAAAATTTTAAGTCTGGTGGCCATAGTTGAACCCAATGGCTATTTTATTGAATAATCAAAGGGGTTGCAGTCTAGGGAGTTAGGTGGCCAGATATAATGGGTGATGTGGTTGCAGAAATTTTCTGACAGCCATGAATGGGTTCTTCTCCTTGTGTGGCATGGTATAGAGTCCTGTTACCAGACATAGGGTCTTCCTGCAGCCACCCTCTCAAGGCACTTGATATAGGCCTCCGTGTAGAGTCTGAAGCCCTGTGGGAAGATGAATGGAGGCATAACGTCGCCATCGCAACTGATCACTCAAACACCTTCTTAATCACCATTAGACTCATCCAACTTTTGCCAAATCTCTGCAATATACTCAAATTGACATCCAAGCACTCTGAAATATTCGTATTGGAGCTTTCGCCTGTGGAACTCTCTCCCCTCTTCCCGTTTCCCTGATAGCTATAATCTTCAACTATTCAAATGTAATGTTAATCGACGTCTCTAGATGCCCTGATCTATGCCCTATCCTTCTCTTCATCCTTTCCTCTATCACTCCTATTTGCTCTAGCTCCAACTCTCTGTAACCCCTTGCATGCTAGTGGCTTCCCGCCTTGCTTGGGGTGAAACACTTAAAAAATACATTACAATCTGCAGAGACGGCCATGTCAATAAGGAGGCGCATTTTGTTTTGCTGATCTCTGATCACGATGTCTGGGCGATTGGCTTTGATTGTTCTGCCTGTGTGTATTGTGAAGTCCTATAAAATTGTTACAGGTCCTATCTCCGTAACCGGGTCTGGGTGGTGTTCTTACAGTTTCCTTTCCGTAAAAGTTGTAGATTTCCCAATGCAGATATTGGCCCACTTTGTCATGCCGGGTTTTATATTCAGTGGGTACCAATATCATTCAACCTGATGCAAGATGGTCAATTATTTCTGGATATCACAGAATCTTCATTTAGGGGTAACATATTTCTTTAGTATATATGTTTGATAATTTATAGTTATCAAGTATTAGTTCTGTACAGAAAAAAAGACCTTCAGTTTCAGCTTTTAACCCTGCGTTACGTAACCACTGATAGGTACGAGGTTTGTCTACATCAACTTGTCTGGTATGGGCATTGATCATGTTGAGGTGTATCTTGCCATCGTTCCTCTATCTGGTCGATTGCATTTGTTTTTGCTTTCTTTTTTAAAGGTTTTTGCCTATGTAGTAGGTGTATTATGTTTTGCATTTCTTCGCCAACTTGAAATCCATTTTGAACTTTTTGGCTTCCTTTATTATTAAATACAGTTTCTTACTTCTTTCATGTTGCTTGGCACGGATCATCATCGAATCTAGTTTCCAGGTATCTTTGAAAGCCGATTGTTGTAGTTTTTTTTAAGAAAGTTCTAGTTGAACTAATTCTCTCCCTCTTTCGGATTTGGGCACATAAAGACGTTCAACATCAGACTTAGGACGATGCATGCGGTAGCAAGTGACAAGTATTCTCGTTTTGGCGTCCATTTTTTTAATGTCAGCTATGGTCCAATTAAGGATGTTGAAACTTTATTGCACCACAGGGACAGCCACGGTGTTTATGAATGATAATTTGTTTTTTGAACTTAACTCGGTATTTAACATCAGATGCACACACCTTTACTATTTTTTCTTACTTTCTCCTCTATTTCATCTCCTTAGCTAATTCCTACTTGTTCCAGTTCCATAATCTTTGTGACAAAATCTAGATCTATTGAATGTGTTTCTGTAATTCTCCCTTTCTTGAATGTTACTTTTTCACCTTTATCGAATCCATACATATGTTTTACAGTATTCCCCTTCCAATTATTGTCGTCATTCGCAAAGAGTTTGAGATTATCCATGTAGAGTAGGTGATTAAACACTTTCTTATTTACTTTGTATCCATAGCTATTATTGTTTCGTTTATGCAAAAGGGGGATTAAGGACATACAAAACAGATGGGAGTCACGCAGTCTCTTATAAAGATTCCTCGTCGGATATCCAAATAATTGGAAGTG